GAGAGAGAGAGAGAGAGAGAGAGAGAGAGAGAGAGAGAGAGAGAGAGCAGAAAACGATTGTGTATGAAGCGTAAATAATCCTTAAACATCATTTTATTTCCATTTATAAATCAACAAAACGAAAAGTTGACTTGAGTGGGAAACCATATGTCTATCAGTTATGGTATTCATGTCCCCATGGATTTCCATAAGTTGATGAAATTCCTTCAGAATACATTATCTGTGGAATAGCTATGATGGAAAATGTACACTTCACGCTGAATAATCACTTGTAATTGATCAATTATTTTATTGTTATTGCCATAGCTATTTTTGTTTTTGGAATAAAAGCATGATTCAATGATTACATACATGGCGAATTGGGTAAAATTTAATCGAAAATCTAATGTTCAAACGTGAATGTTGGTAAATCGAAATTATCACCAAAATAAATGTATGCTAAAGTTGGTAATTATTATTTATTTAAGTAGCAAACTATTAGCATGAGTGTAAGTCAAAATGGGCGCTGAATGTGTCGGCACATGGATCATCATTGAAATTCGAAAATTGCCACACACTTTGAAATATGGTTTCATATTCATCAGATCGGTTAGTTTTGGAGTGAGTGGCTTTGAAGAAGTGTTATTTCGTTGACGCAATGTCGTGTCGCATGGCGATTGCATATTATATCCAAAGCAATGCAAAGTGAAAATTTATGCATGCGACAATAAATTTGCGTGATGAATGCGCGCTCAACTCAAATGAAACAAGTGTAATTGCAACAAGCAGTGATTTTGTGTGTCATTCTTTTAGTGGCATGTTGAATGTGTGCTTCAAATATGGTTTCAGTAACCGAGATCATCAACATGCTCATATGACAGCGTATCGTGCGCGCTTAACAAGTGTGAGACAGAGGAATAAGCATGCGACAGAAATGAATTGCAATGGATTTTCAGTTGAATGCAGACACTTTCAACTGGGATAAATGAATTTTAACTGACATATGGAATATACCTTGAGTGTTGACAATGTTATTCGAAATGCGTGGCTGGAGCGCCTTTTGAACTTATGCTACACTCTCATGCTGCTATTTCTGTTGTTGTGACTCAACGATGGATATTTAAATGGACCACAAATTATAACCCGAAAATATATCAACACATTTCTAACTTTTGTCAACACATATCAAAGCCGCAGCACATTTCTTTGCTTGATGATTTAATTACGTATAATGCTAACAAAAAAGACTTATGATGATCATTATTTTTATTGCCAGTTTTAGTTTCGTTTTGTATTTAATGTAGCAATTATGCATTAGAAATCAAATGCAATAAGGTCCTGTGAGTGAAGAAAATTGTCCTTATAAGTATGGCTTTATTCATGATCCCCATTCATTCCATAAACCGTTACATTCAAAATGTTGTTTTCCATACATAAAAGTGTTGTGCAAATGTGTATGAATGTTGTAGCAACATTGTCGAATTTACGAAGCACCCATGCATATGAAAGTTGACCTAGGAATATTGAAATGAAATTACCGGAAACCACTTTGCTCTTGTCAAACAAAGTTTGCTAAATGACAACTTTGTGTAACTGGGGGAACTCCAGTTCACTGTCACTTTCTCGTTCCATGTAAAATGACTGAAATACATAAGCGCAATACATACATATTTCAAAATAGTTTAAGACGCGTGCAATAGCAATACAATGTGATTTTGTCATCTGTTGTATACACCATACGGTCTTAATTATTGTCTATTCAATCTATACTTACTGCCTTAGATTATTATTCTTGCAAATGATAACAATTTTATTGTTATTGTTGTGTGTTCGGCGCTCGGCACTCGGTTTGAATTGTAAATTTTCGAATGACATGTATGGATGGCATATTTTCTGGCTGTAATAATCATTTTACATGATAGAATATGTAGTACGCCCAAAGGTTAATGTGTAGTGACTGCAAGTTATTAAATTTAAGTCGAATTACATCTCATTTTGAACGACAACAATGAAACAAAATGATGTGAGACAGCCCGAGATGCCAACAATTTCTCCCATCGTAAAATATATATCAAAAGTATATACGAAAAACAGCAAGACATCGAATACACAATGAAAAACATAGATAAATAATTGCAATTCGGTAAAACATTCATGCACAACACATTGTTTATTGGATAAATGGTCTGACTTGAATCATAACGATGATATTAGACAAATTCATTGTTGACTATAACTTATAATCTTTCAATGTTGGAGACTTCAACGAAAGGTATTAGCAAGAAAAAGATGAAAAAATCGTTACCCTGACGATACTTGCGAAGGGCGAAGAGTGAAGACGACTGTTGTTTGATTTTGCTGAACGAAGCGAGAATATTATTTCATTGTATTATATATTCTGTACAAGCTGAGAATCAAATTATATTAACTGGGAGTTAGTCTGTAAATCAAGAAGCAAAAAAGACGCCTTGACGCATATTTGGAGCTTGAAAAGTTTTCACAGCTGAAATGATATGGTATTTTCACATGCTTTTTCTGAGGTTTTTTTGCGTTTTTATACTTATTCCGTCGTTTCAACCAGGTGTTTTGACTTTCAAAAGTAGCATTGCACTTCACATCCAGAAACAGAGATACAGCAACGTCATACCGCTTTTCCGATAATCATTCCATAATTTTATATGTAACTATATTGCTCTTCCCTCTCCATGGAATCCAACTTCCCAAAAAGATTCACTCTTTTACTCTTGTTCGAAAGAGGAAAAGAAAAAACAACGTAACAGACAGCTCGCGTGTGTTATCCATTCGGTTTATTCGCGATGCGCGCGTGTGTTTGTGCACACGTATGTTTGTGTAAAAGTGACTGTGTGTGTGTACGACATCTTTACCAAACGATCGTTCAGCCTAATACAAACAAACGCACAGCTAATGTGGCACGTATTGCCAGTGTTTGGATGTGCTTCGCTTGGTTGAAGATGACGCTTGCAATGAATCTAATATTTTATGTAAGACACAAAATAAACTTCATACTTTATAAAGTACGTGATCCGATTAAATAATAGCAGTAACAATATTTATAATAGATTTCATATGATACACTATATATGCAAAGACAGAACACACACTTACGTACACTTGCTCTGCTATTCGAATAAGTATTTTATACGTAAATACCCCACACTTCACATATTCAATAAAAATTCATACATTCACAATGCTTTTTTTCGTATGTGAATGTCATTTTAACTGGTTGATATTTTCTTATTCTTTTTTGGCAGGGAGGGGGAGAGAGAGAGCAAAATTGAGGGAGAGACTGACTGAGTGAGAAAAAAATAAGTGAAAGAATGAAATTCACTTGTTTTGAATGCATTCGTCCAAATTGCAAATATCCCATAGCGTTTAAGTACCAGCACATTTCTTGAATAACTTTCCTTTCCGTAAGTGTTTTTATACATATGAAACCGATCCACATTTTTTGGTGAGCACTCGTCTATTAGCTAAAGCTCAAGCTCAAGCGTAATATCGCATAACCACATAATGTTCGTATATGTATACGTTGCACTCGTCGCACCGATGAAAAATTTCCCCGAATGAATGGTAAGGGTGTCTTTTTTTATATCTCATTCCATGCGCACACACATTGCTTTCTTCCATTACATTAACGTTTTAGATCTTTACAATGGCTGCATGGGTTTTCATCGTCTTTGTGATATTAGATATGAAAGTAACGGGCAAATCATATCATATGTTAAATTCCATGTCAAGCTTACGATGAAAAACAAAGCAAATCACAATGTCGTGGGAACTGTGTGTATATTATGAAAATCCGGTGATTGCTTTTATATCTGGTAATTTTTTTTGCCAGTACCAGATCGGATCAGTCGTCAACCACTGGCCCAGACACTTTATTCGTAAAGAATAGAAAGACAATAAGAAGAGAAAAAAAAACCTTCGTCAAAAGCACTCGTTTCTGAATCAATGCAACGGTTTTTTTTCGTTCTTTTTCAATTTATATAAGCTTCTCGGGTGAATCACAAGCCATTTTATAAATTTGTTTGTTATTTTCCGGTTCGTCACTGGCTTTTCTCTGAGCACTCGGTGCTCATTCCATTATTTTTTCTTTCCATTTCGCTGCATTTTCCATGGAATAGCACACATGAATTATTTATTTTGGACTTGGTATTATAAG